GATGATCTGATTCATAAAACACTAGCCACATCAGAAAGGGACACAGGTCTGTGAAATTCTATCTCAAAGAGTGAATAATAAATTATGCACATCAGAATGCAAAATTCATAGCATTAATGGCACGGCTATGTAGGGAACATGGTGCAGACTGTAGGTTACCAGAAGAAGGTGTTATGGCTTCTTACTTTTTCACAGTAGATCTATCCTCTCTTTCAATCTTTCCAGTATTTTCTGCAACACACAGTCACTGATCTGCAAAAAATTGCAAGATATATCTGTCTGCAGCCCAAACGTGTTGTAAAATGAAACAGACACAAAGACACTGAGAAACTCTGTACTGCTGTGAGGGGTTCTGCAATTTCTCCCAACAATTCCTGATCCTTCTCCAAGCTCTGTCCTCTGTTGCTACACCTCTCAGTTACCCTGCATCAAAGACACAAAATAGAATTGAGATCAAATGGTGGCAGATTCTGAGCGGTTAAGGGTTGTAGGGCAACCTCCTGCTGCTCTCCCTGTTCTTAATCTCAAACTGCTTTTCATTCATTTTTATGCATTTTGGTCGGCATTTTCAAAGTCAGATTTGATCAAGAGTTAGGTTTTGAAGTAGAGATGATCAAACGTGGTCTAGCTTCCTTAAAAAACTGAGTTTGGCACAGAGTTGAGCACAGGGAGAGTAGCAGATTTTAAGTTTAGCATCATTAGCAGCTAACAGTCAGTTGCGACATTCTCCCAGTTCTTACAGATCATTCGTATCTTTTTTTGTCCCTTTGTCTCGGTTTCTTCCTTGCAAGACATGAAATTAAAAAATGATGATGACTTAAATGCTTTTGTTGTCGGTCAGCCTTTATTAGTCAAGTCTATTAACTCAAGAACTATTTGGTCTGAAGACTAAAGCACTTAGCTGCATATAACAGCTAGACTTCCCCACATTAAGTCACATGTTGACAGCAGCTGGACAGCCCTTGGTGAAAGACTTTTTCTTTGATTGTGCTGTTTTCATACATGGGTTCCACCAGGTTCCACCCCCATTTCTCCTGATGGTGGGTTGAGACAGTCTGGGTGAACAGGGTTCTTTTACATTAGAATAATCCTGGGGAACTTGATCTGATTGGACAAGCAATGCCACTGGCCAGGGACTGGTCAGTTACTGGTAAGAAGACACACCAATAAGGGATGGTTTCAAAATCGCTAACATTTTCAATGATTCCCATTTCTACAGTCTAAAGTACTTTTGCTCATATATCAGAGAAAGTGCTGGAGTGACCAACGTTTTCTACGGCTATATAAAGCATAGAATAACACTGTGCTCCACCCTCCCCCACCTGTTGCTGCGTGCTGCTGGTCAGCCGGCTGAAAGAACACTTTTCCCTCTAAATTCACAAAAACCCTAGACAGATATAGTGTGAAAACTGAAGGAGCCCATCGGTCTTATCAAGATAATGCTTCATAAATTGGCAAACTATAAACACTAAATCTGGTGCAGGTTTTATTCTATGGTTTATTACATCTATGTCAGAGTTGATATAACAATACATAAATGTTAAAGATTACAATAATATAAAGGAACAGATCAATATTTTGTTATTTTTGCAGTGTTTCCTTTTTTATTTGAAATAAAAGCAGTTAGATAAGAATGTACAGGGTTGTTTCACGTTTTCATTTTTATTGTATGATGCCATGGTACTGTGGTATTTTTAATTAAGGGTTATTGTAACAATATTAGTGCATGCCTGATAGCAACACTGTTTTCCTGTAATGTTTTTGCAAAGCTCTCTTTAGAAACCCACCCAGCTTGAAGCAGCTGGAGTCATTTTGTTATAAACCAAATTTCTGCAACAGATGCATCAGACTTAAAAACTTCACCTTTAGATCTGCAGCTGTAATTACAGCAGCTGCTGTTTATTATCTTATACATACAAGTTATGCTATCTTGTAAAAAACTTTAATTCAAAGTTATTATCCTGCGAGACTCTCATAAGCCTAATGCTGATAGGTGCAGCTGTGCAGTGCTGCAGTTGTTTGCCCTGTTGCCTCGCAGCAAGAAGGTCCTGGGTTTGAATCCTGGTTCAGGTCTTTCTGCCACTGTTTGCATGCTCTCCCCCTGCATGCAAGGGTTCCTTTGGGTTGCTCATGCTAATGTCCCTATAGTTAAGAGGATTTTAAGCATCATGAAGGAAATTCATTTAACATGTAAGAACTTGAATTTGTAAAGGTCGAGCTGGACATCGATGACCTCTGATTCCTCATATAGAACGGGAGTTCATCAAAGCAATATAACCAGATCTGGTGTGATGGCCCACAAGGCTGAACACGGTGTTGGTCAGGCTAACACATGAACTGCAGCAAGGTTGTGCCTAAGTATGGGAACTCTCTGAGCTGCTAAAAGCTACTGAAGCGCATCAAGGACTTTAGTATCTTCCTGGTCACCCTAAAGTCAGTTATAAAACAGACAAAGTCACAGGAACCAGTCAAAGCATTCTCAGACATTTCATCAACACCTCAAGAAACAGTCAACGTGTGAAAGGGGCTGAAAATCGTAGTCTTTAAACTTTACCAAGGAACAAAGGAAGCCTTACATTAACCTTTCCTAGAGTCAGTGTCAGCTTCTTTTGGTTTGCAAGGCATTTGGCACGGATCATCACTCAGTGGAAAAATGTACAGTGACATTCAGTATTTCAGACCATTTTCAAAAGAAACTGACTCTTTGTCACCCAGACGGGATTTAAACTAAATGAACCAGTCATACTTTTATTAGCAACCACTCCACTGTCTTTTGGGGACATCATTTTGGAACCTGAGAAATTCTGAAGACACATGCATTTGGACTTGGTAATGCCAAAGGGGGAGTGTGTGTAAGTATATAGATTGCAACTATACAGAGAGTAAAGTGAAGTGCTGAGCTGCAGAACAGATACATAACAACATGTTGTGACATATAGATAAAATTAAAAAATAAAGATGAATAAATTGTAGCTTAAGCTGAACAAACCCTAACACTCTAAGAGGTTAGGACCAATAAAAACATGTTGGAAAAAAAGCCATCATTTTACACCTGATATCACTGCAATGAACTGTTGTGCTTCTTCAAATACTGGAGTAAAGGTCTAACGTTCGGTTAGTCATTTAGACATTTGACTTCAACAAGTTGGAAACACACAGGTGAGTTGAGAGGTTCTGGATCTATGCATGTGGTCGTTGGGTAGAACTTGTGCAAAACCAGGGCGTCACTGCAGCTTTGTTAGCACAGCTGTGTTTTCGCTACACATTTAAATCAAAGTGTCTACCTTTAAATAGACTTATGGCCCAAAAATATCCCAGGTGGACATGGACAAGTTACCGGCATCATGATATAAACATCAGGCTGAAAGCTTGGAAGCAAGATCTGATTTATCCAAAAACAGATGATGTTTCATTCATCTACTTTGCAACAGAATAAATATGATTACTACATGGCTTACTTATCTAAATACATTTTTTACTATAATTAACAGGTATTTTGGTTTCTTCAAAGCTACCTCCTCCGGTTTTACTTTCACATGTCGTGTAAAATATGCAAACTAGAAATTTGTTTGTTTTTTTTACTTCTGCACTGAAGTTGTCGCTCCTGCAAATCTTCTCAGCCTTTAAAATGAAGCCCTTCTTTTCTGGTGCTAATCAGCAGTGATCTGGTCTCATACTGGGTTGTCAGGAAGGCTTTTTCAACAGAATATAAAGTTTTTTCCAACAGTCTGGCTGGTATCGGTCTGGCTTCCACACTTCTGGCCGGTTAGTGCACTCATGTTTAAACAGGTTCCCACAGCTACCTACACTGGTGGTCAGCTGGACGACACAAGGCTACCACACTGTCCACTTGGTAAGAAGAAAGACAAAAACAAAAATAACGGCTTGGTCATTTTTCCAGTTATGAAATACATGGACAGTCTTTGTGTGGAAATCACAGGAGTGCCACTGATTCTTGAGGTAACACTATCTAAGACAGCCACATACATTATTCTATTAAATTCCTGGGGGTTTGTTTGTAGTTTTTTAACTTGCTACAAAGAATTACTGCTCTACCTTCAAAGTACTATGTGTGTGAAGAAGCCCAAGCATGCAGCGTTGTGTGTTTCTGTGTGAGTGTGTCCTCGTGAAGTACATCAGCTGTGTTCAGCTCCAGTCATTGGTCGGCTCCACCCAAGCAAACAAAGCAAATGGAGGGGTAAAGCTTCTCATTTAATGTCAACAGGTACTTAAAGTTTTTCATAGTTCCCCAAGGCTGAGGTGGTCTAAAGTCAGGAAAAACCTGTTGGTTTAGTTGGGTACTACAGCAACACATGCATGATGCATGAACGTCTGAAGAGAAAACACCCAGGAGCTACAGATAAAACACCATACGTTTTTAAAGCTGTACTGAGTTTGATGTATGTCTGCTACTTTTAAGTTATGATGTCCCGTATCATTTCATAATTTATCTCCTTGTTCTTCCTGTAAAGCACTGTGAATTATCCTGTGAATTATGCTACTGTGCACATAAACTTGCCTTGCTTTACTTTTTTCCTGAATAAGTGTTTATGGAAACCTTTAGATGCATGTTTGATTGATGATCTCTGTGTTTGCATGCTCACGTGTTGAGTTTATACAGCTGACTGAATTACTGTAACTTATTCCCACTTTAAATGAGATTCAGAGATATGAAAATCTGAGCCTATATCAATATCCAATAATATTGCTGTTATGGCTGAAAACAGCAACAAGACGGAAATAAACATCAGTTATTAATACCGGCCCAGTTTTACGTATGGGACCGATACCCATATCTTAAAAAATGATTGGCTAATACCAATGTTAATATAATGTGCATCCCGATTAATTTGTGTAGATAATGTTAATATCTAGATTAATCTAATATAAATCGAACTTATAAATCTTAAATATGATTGTGTGGAAGGTAGATAAAAAGGTTATATTATATATTATACTGAAGGACTAATAGAAACTGAAGGTCTAATAGAAAATCGGGCTGCACGGTGGTACAGTTGGTAGCACTGTTGCCTTGCAGCAAGAAGCTCCTGGGTTCGACTTCCAGCCGGTGGTCTTTCTGCATGGAGTTTGCATGTTCTCCCTGTGCATACATGGGTTCTCCAGGTACTCTGGCTTCCTCCCACAGTCCAAAAACATGATTGTCAGGTTAACTGGTCTCTCTAAATTGTCCTGAGATGGACTGCTGATCTGTCCAGGGTGTACCCTGCCTCTCGCCAGTAGACTGCTGGAGATAGGCACCAGCTCCCCCGTGACCCACTATGGAATAAGCGGTATAGAAGATGAATAAATGAATAATAGAAATGGATTATTTTTTCCTTTGCTTCATGTCTGAACTAAGGCCAACTTTTCTAAACATCTGGTGGTTTGTCAAGCCGCAGGGGGAGAATTTCTGTATGTTTCCACATTAGTCACTTCTCAGTGTTGTTCTCTGCCTTTTCATTGCAGAAATATTTTCAACTTGCCTCTTTAGTCACAGAACAATCTCTCCCTGTTTTTAGCCTGTATGGATGCACTTTGAGCTAAATGTTCTCTCAGCCTGTAACACTTTAGGGTCATAAAAGGGCAGAAGACTTGAAAAGCAGGGCCGACGTTAAGTTTCTTAAGACAACGGTTTTCATAAAAAGCTGTTTGCAGAGAACACAGACCTGAGAGGAAATTAACTTCTCAAGATGAAAAGACAGGAGCTCCATTATTGCCCTCTTCAAATAACCTCCAATTACAGGGACCAGGAGGTCTTTAAAAGGGTCAGTCGAGGCATAAAGACATTCTGAGAAGATAACATGATTATGTAATGCAATATTTTCCTGCAGCCGACATCAAAGACGGTCATGATTTAGGCTTTTCCCTGGATGCTGTTTCAAATAGACTGTTTAACTAGAAAATAATCTCATTTGTGAACTACTGAACTCGCTTTTCTATATTCTTGCTTCATATAGGGAGACAGTGGTGCACAAACAAATCTTCTTATTGTGCCTCCAGCTTGTCTCCATGTCTCACTACCTTTAATCATCTACTCAGCTGGCCCTGGCCCCTAAAAGACTTTCTGCTTTGAGATTAAATTTGGCACCAAAGTAAAAACACCAATGTGGTGTTGTTAGTTTTCCCCATGTTGCTCAGGGGATCCTGAAGTTGGGTGGAAATCCAAATAGCTCTAAATCTGAAAGCTGTCCATCTCCTCCGTCCTCCTTTGTCTATCTTCTTTAACCCAAAGACTTGGACAATCCCATCAGTGACAGTGAGTAACAGCTACAGCTGTCAATATTAACAATACTGAAATATTCAATTTATATAAATTAACAATAAAATCAAAGAGCAAACCTGTTACAATGTTCTGTAAAATGTAACTTGAAAAAGCAATTTCTGGTGAGGAATAAAAAAAGGACACCCCTACATTTACTGTCACGCAGGCATATTACATCAGCTACACATGATGAGAAGATCATCAATCAACATTTGGAAGGATGTTTGCCCTGTTCAACCCTCAGATATATAGCTTGGTGCTCCTGACTGTTGAAGTTGGAGTGAACACCATGATGAGGTCCAAAGATCTCTCTGAGGCCTTCAGGAAGAAGTTGGTAGCAGCTTTTGAGTCTGGTGAGGGATTTAAAGAGGTCTCAAAAAAGAAGCGGAGGACATTTAAACAACAACAGACAAGTCCAGGTCTATCCATCCAAGCAAGCTCACCCTGAAAGCAGACCGCAAGATGCTCATAAAATCTCCAAAACCTCTAAGATGTCATCACAGGACCTACAGCAGGCTCTTGCTACTGTTGATAATGACAAATTAATGTCTGCGCAATTAGAAAGAGACTGAATTGGTTCAACTTTCATGGGAGGTTTGCAAGGAGGAATCCTTTGCTCTCTAAGAAAAACATGAAGGTCAGATAGAGGTTTACCACAGAGACTGTATACAAAGACGATAACTTCTGGATTAATGGTCTAAATGAGTCTAAAACTGCATTTTGTAATCACCATAACAGAGGACTAATTTGACATAACCAAATAGTGCCTTCCAGGACTGAAGCCTGATACCAGCATTGAAGCATGGCGGGGGAAGTGTCATGGTTTGGGGCTGTTTTGATGCAACAGAATCTGACCATCTTACCACCATAGAACCTGCAACAAATGCTACCATGTTTCAGAGAAAGGCTGGAAAAATGTGAAACCATCTGTAAAAAAAAAAGCTGAATGAGAAAAGAACCCTGCAACATGACAATGATCCAAAATTTAACAGTAAATCCACCAAGAACTGGCTGAGATTCAAAGAATGAATAAAAGAGGGAACTTTTTAGTTATAACACACATTTGCTGGTATTTTGTTTGACAAGTGAAAAAAGGGTTAGTTTTCCAGAGATAAAAAATGTTATTAGACTGCTGAATATTTAATGGGGTGTCCTAAAGTTCTCACGTCTGTAAGTGATAAGATATGTTGATGGACTCTGATGCAGTAGCTAAATGCATTGCTCCATTATCAATTTGAGTCAGAAAAAATAGACAAAAGAGCTCTTCGTATTTATTTTTTTTTCCTGAGGAATATGAGAGTGACTTTAGTTGATTGAACACATCTGTTGTGTCAGAAACGGTAAAATGTCCAAACCTGCTGGTTACCAGGAGCCGGATAGAAAATACCTTCAGGGTTTTGCTGCCATGTGAGGCAAATCTGTCAGCCAAGAGAGGCTGAGTCTGGCGAAAAGCCCAGAATGGAAACTATGCCCATCCAAAGTTAGGCTTACATTAGGTTGGATTAGGCTCAGATTTCTATTCATAGACTCTTTCCAGTTAAATATTCTGAATATTCACTACTTTACACAAAGAACAGAATAATTTATTTTAAACAGGATGAAAAATAAATGAAGAGTCTACGCTTTCAATGTGTGGGTGCTGCCAGGACAAAATGTAAACCCCCTATAAAATTTAATATTAAATCTCCTGTTCCACCACATCCCAGAGGTTCTCTGAGAGGTCTGGTGATTGTGGAGGTCACTGGAGGTCACAGAAGTCATTGTTGTGTTCAAGAAACTAGTTTGAGATGATCTGAGGTTTAAATGATCCTGCTGGGAGTGACAAGAGATGGAGATGGTTAGAAACAAAACTTGGGCCAATAAATCTTAATATCTTTTGTCCTATTCACAGTTTTTTTCTATCTAGAAAAACATAAACATACAAAGATAAAGGAGTGGGAATGATTCCTGAAATAATTTAGATTGCAAAGTTAAAAGTCCTTTGCTCTCTGTGTGTATTTGGTAAAAACCGGTTTTAAACATGTAGGAGTCCATCTGATCCTGCTGCTCTAGAACGGCACCATGAAGAACAGGAGAACTCTACACATTTAAATTCATTGTAATAAATGCTGTACAAAATGTGCCACTAAAAATGTTTCAATCACGGCCAATCTGGGTCCAGATACGATTTCATCTGAGTCTGGGTCAAGATCCCAATGGTGGTATGGGGAGCTCTGTTAAGTGCACCAAGGTTCACTTTTGCTCAGTTAAAGCTTTCAGCATGGGGCTGCATGGCGGTGCAGTTGTCGACACTGTTGCCTTGTAGCAAAAAGGTCCTGGGTTCAGAGCTGTTTCTGCACGGACTTTGCATGTTCTTGATATGTGTGGATTCTCTCCTGGCACACCAGCTTCCTCCCACACCCAGAAACCTAACTTTTAGGTGAATGAGTTACTCTAAATTCCCTTGTGTATGAGTGTGTGTTGCCTTTTAGTAGACTGGGGGCCCTGCAAAGATAAGCGGTTATAGACAATAAATGGATGGTTTGGACGTGACCATGATCAATAAAGCTGCTTTAGACTTACATTTTGGCTCATTTTTCTGTTGTCACATGACAATTTTTACATTTATTTAACTTCACTAGAGCATACTGTAAGAGTTCAAGCAGTTTAACAGAAGATGGCAAACAGAACAAAACCTTAAAATTGCTTCATCCCCTGAAGAAGAAGTCTAATTGAAAGGATGAAGAATAAATTGCCTCATTGCTCTCAGTTTAGCATTCCACAGTTTCACAGTGATTGTCACCCATCAGCCATAATTTTGCAGTGCTTGACAGTGTGACAAATTTCAGCCTAATGAATGACGCCCGTTTTTCATTTTAAACCTCTGAAGCATTTCTACCAAATGAAAATTATTCAACAAATACATTGTTCCGCTAATAGCTTTTTCTATGTTTCTGTGATGCAGACAGTGTTTTAACACAGCAGGGGAGGTAAAATTCAGTATTGGTGGTCTGTGGCTTGATGCATGTAATGCATGCTTTGAAACCTAAATTGCACACAAACTGCTTCTTTCCAATGGAGGATTTTTTATGTCAAATATATTTGAATAAATACACGTACTTAAAGCTGGAGTACACCACAGCAGAAATGATCTTTTCAGTAAATAACTCGTTCTTTGTCACCCAAGAAGAAAATCTGTAAATTATGGCAGCAACTCCCTGCTTTTAAAGTGATCACAAAGTTTCAGTGACTTCTGGAAAAACCACACTTGAGGAAGTTGGCCAAATAAATCATCTCTTTCGATGTCATTACTTTGAACACCAGGGACATTGGCCTGACTTTTCTCAGCCATCATTACAGTAAGACTGGAAGGAACCTCGCTCCAGTTAAATTAGCCATTTCCCATCTGGCTCCATTACATCTGAGGATGGTGGCCAACATTGTACTGAGAAACCAACAAGGATTGAGCTCAGAAGAGCACTTGCTTTGACCCCATTAAGTCTCCATACCCAACAAACAGACTGCGGCAGGAAAGCTCATTGGATGAGTCGTGTAGATTTTGCAGTCAGGTGGTTGACTATCAAATCTACCAGCAATTTACTGTGAAAGTTCAATTATCTTGGTATATAAACTGTTAGAAAGTTCAACAATATATTTTTCATTCATATACAATTTCAAACAAATCTTAACACAAAAGACACATAGCCTTTATTCCTCACTAAATCTGGCTAAACCTTTAAATTGCCAGAATATCGAGAGAAAAATGTACCTGCGGATAAATTTTAAATGCAGCACCTCAAATACTCTGTTACTGTGTTTACCATCAAGGAAAAATCTAAAGA